GCCACCAAAAGCGTTTGCTGCAGTAACCTCCTCTGCCTTTTCCACCCTGGGTATGACGTCCATGTGCTGCTTTTCTCTCCCATCTCAGAGGAATTAAGTGGCCTTGCAGTTCAAGTGGCTCATTACCGGAGTGTTGCATTGTGCTGGATTTGCTGTAACGTGCAGACATTTGGTAGCATTACAGAGAATGAATCCCCACCTTTCTGTAGAGAAATCAGGAAACTTAATTGTCGCTAGGCTTTTCAAACCTGAGTTTAGGTCTGTTGCTCCATAAGCCAGGAACCTGAAGCTAAATGCTGTACTGTGAAAAGAGCTGAGCGCCGAGACCTGTCAACTGCGTGGAAAACTCTCGTATCCAAAAAATCAGGTAGCAGTTTCCTGACTGTTAACTACATTCTGAATTCTTAAAGCCTCTGCAGAGAAGTGTCAGTTCTGATTGGATACCCGGCAAATGGAAATCACTGGTGTGTGCAGATGCTTCCAAGCATCTCCTGCATGGATTTAGAACAATATTATTCGAGCCCACAGAGAGGAGCCAGCCTGCTTAGACGATAATAGAAAATTGGGGAGGGAGAAGACCAAAGAGAGGGTTTTGTTATCACAGACTTGGGCATTGAAGTCTCAAAATGTGAATAAAGGCGGCTCTGTGCTGACCTCTTGCCATGCGGGTCCTTTGGCCATTATTCCACCATTTTTAAATTTTTTTTTTTTTTTTTTAAATAAAGGAGAGAGGGCACAGGGTGAAGGTTTATGAGAGCCGAGTGATGAGGCACTAAATGTCTCTCCCTTTCCCCTCCCTGTGCCCAGTGCTTACCCCAGGGCTGGCTTCCCAGGCAGCAGCCTCGCCCTGCAGTGAGCTGGTGGTTTTAAAACACAGACCCCTTTTCACTCTTGACATCGTTCTCACACAGATTTCCTCCTTTGCCACCCACTATTTTATGATTCTTCTTCCAGCTGGAAACAAACAAGCCAAGGAATAAATCCGTAGATAAATCAAATGGTTTAGTCAAACAGATTAAACGTCACTCTTTGCGGATGGAAAGATGTTGGGAGTTCTGGGTGTTACCGTGGATTTAGGAGTCTTAGGGTGGGTCTGAGTGTGCTGAAGCTTTGTTAAAGAGAGCAGAATGAGTTAGTTCTGATGTGTGTGTGTGTGTTAGCTACAGCCTGGCACACACCTAACTTAACCTGAGCTTATTCTGTAACTGTACTGTAAATGTGCAGTGGCAGAGTTGAAGACGAGGTTTCTGTTCTCCAGTCACAGTCGCAGCTATGCCAGAGGAGCACCAGCTGCATGATAACGTTTTATTTCTGTCATCCTGCAGACTGGAAATTAAGAATGTTATTTTCAACAGCTTATTTGGATTCAAACATGTTGTTATTTACCTGCACTCCCTATCCCAGCTCCCGGGGTGCTGTATGGTGTGGCAGCACTCTGTCCAGGAGTGGGTCAGCCTCAAAGCCAGCTCATCTGTCCCTGCACAAGCTCTGATCGTAGCAGTAGCTGCAATTTGGATGGTCTGAACTTGATGACAGAGATGTTTCCCAGAGATGCTACAATCACCCAGAGGTTATTGGAGGTTTTGTCCTATTGATTATCTTGCTATTGGAGTCGATTATTTACTATGTCTGACCTAGTCTTTCAGCTGCCTGTTGGAAGTTTTTGAATGAGTAGTACCAAAGTTGTGCCTGATAAGTGTGCGGCAGGGAGGGAGGGAGGGAGGAGGGGTGGTCTTTTGAAGACTTTACTCTTCCAGTCTGCCTACCTTGAGCTATTTGGGCCATTTATTATTGTGTGAAACAGCACATGCCTTGTTCTCTATGGGTCTAATTTCAAACTTATGTTTATTTGCAGAATAACACAATTTGGAAGCCAGATTCTTGCCAAGACTGCCGTTGCCAGAGCAATATTGTCACCTGTGAACCGACCGTCTGCAAAGACCCTCAGTGTGACTTCCAGAAGGTAAGGGGCTGCAGCTCTGCAAATGCCAGCTGACCCGTTCTGTGGGGTGAGAGAAATGTCAGGTTGCTCTGGAGTTCCCAGCCTCCCCCTGCCTTAAACCCCTCGTTACATGTCAAAGTGCTTCTTTGGGTCCACCTCACCGTGTTAAATGCCAAGGAACGGTAGGAGCAGTAACTGGAAGCAAAGCTCCTCTTGTCAGTAAGAGGGACACAAAAACCAATGCAGTATGAGGTGTTTGCCTGGAGGAACTGGAAGAGGTGAGCTGGTTGCTTATCTTTATACGCCGTGGTGACAGCTGCTGTGTCCACCTTTAGGCTCAGCTGCCTCCCTGTAGCTCCCTTTGAGGATCTGAGTCGCAGCAGGATTTGAAGGAAGCAAGAGGCAGCAGTGGAACCTCCTCCCAGGGGGTGTGTGACTGCCCAGGGTCAGGCGTGTCTCCGTGCCCTTTCACTTCTCACTGACACCAGCCTGTGCGAGAAACACACGCAGGCAAACCCCTGGGTGAAGCCTTTGTCTCCCCTGCCACGCTGCAGCCCAAGGCTTGGGGTTGGAACAGCTTGCAGGCTGCCTGTGCCCCAAGGGCGGTCTGCTCCCCAAAGGAAGCCCCAGGGGAACTGGATCCAGACTTCCCAGTCTGAGGATGGCAGTGGCTTCCAGTCACCCTTGGTCTGAACATGGAGCTGGGTCTCCTTAAGACGTACAGATGGACTCTTTCCACTCTGAGGAGCAGCAGCAGAGCGGAGATTGTCAGTCTTCTAGTTTCTCCTGCCTTGTGATGGTTGTTGAGCTTTCATGTCTCCTGTTTATCTTTCTGTGCCTGATCCTTCATTAATGGTTACAGCTAATTGGCCATGGAATTGGTCTTGCATTAGCATCTGGATTACTGGGGTAGTATGCATGAATGACAGTGAAAATTAGTGTTTTAAAGAGGCCCTGCCAGTATAATTATATGGCTTTATGAAGCAGGTTAAAATGTTCTCTGATCTGACAGCGTTAGTGAGAAAATAATTTTGATTCTTACTGGTTTTTCCCATTATTGATTAAACCAAGACTAAAACATTAGCATTTTTTTGTGCTAGAGAGAGAAAAAAAAAAGTGCTGTCATGCCACACCTAATAATGAGTGGGCTAGGTAAAATGTTGTTGTTGATTTTCAGAAATTGGATAAATAAAAAGATGTCAACTTAAAAGCTCATAAAAGGAAATAGATTTATAGTGTGAAATGAATCTGTGATTCCTTGACATGGGAAATCTTCACGAGTTTAAGTGTTCAATAGAGGCCTGGCCATTTAAATGTTGAAAAGGATCATCAAAGATCTCAGAAGAAGAAAATCCAGTCATCCTTCAAGCATAAACAAACCAGTGATGGACAAAGTCAGAAATCACTGTCCCTCTCCATGGATTATTTCTTATGTGCTTACTGTGAGGTTTATGCTAATACTGCTGGTCTTGTTTACAGCCACAAGGAATAAACAAAGCCAGGCAGTCTTTGCAAGAAGCTACCCAGTGGTGTTCTGAACATTTGTGTGTAAAACCTCCTGCTGAGCAATCTGAATGCTCTGAGTGGGTGAAAAATCAGCAAACATGATTTCTGTTGTGTGAACCAAAACAAACCAACAACTCAGAATAGTTTCTCCACAGCAGGATCACACTTCAATAGGGTTTAATGGTGTAAGCTAAATGAAATATTTAATTTTGTTTTCCACCTTCTAAAAAACACGGCATTGAAGGAAACACTGAAGTGAGAAACTTCTTTTGGTTTGAAAAATCAAAATGTTTCTTTTAGAAAATAGGAAGACAACTTATGACCTTTCAAATTATTCTGGTTGCTTACAAATAAAGAGGTGAAAGGTAAGACAGTTTTTTAGCACCACAGTGTTTTCATTTTTTATGGTGACAGAACAAATCACGACTCCCTGCTGAGCAGGACTCTCTTAGACGTTGGCTGTACCCTTTCAAAGTGGAAAGGACAGAGCGTGTCTCCTGAGGTAACACAGTATTTTGAAGAAGGTGATCTCACATTGTATAACATTTCACTTCCCAAACCTGACATCTTCTTCTCTGGTTTTGGTTTTGTGTCCTCTCCCTCTCCAGTGACCGTGATCACATTGGTAAAATTGTTGGGTCCTTTTTTGTTATGAGCTGTGGGAGGAAAATACTGAGATCTGTGGTACCTGAGGTGGTGCCAGGGGCCCTCGTGTGCAGTTGCCATCAGTGACAGACACCACGGAGGCGTTTTCAGTGACAGGAGTCCACGATCTCTCCCATCAGTGTTGGCTGGTGTCTTTTTTGATGTGTTTTGCCCTTTGTCTGATGAGTTGAATCCATCAGCATCATCTTTTTCCATGCTGCCCAACATAGCAAGCACGTTGCTTGCTTGCTAAGCCCCTGGAACACGCAGAGCAAGGTGGTGGTAGCATCACCTGACTGTGCTGTGACTGGAAGTGGTCAGTAGTTTTCAATTAATTTCAGGTAGTGTTACTAAAAACAATATGGTGATTATTAAGCCAAAGAAATGCTGTTAATGGATGCATGTCCTTCTGCCTGCCAGCTGCACTTCTGCTGTGCTGAAATGTTAGGCTGAGATCCATCCTGTACATGTAGAAAACTCTCTGTTGAAAATCTTACATCTGTACCACAGTTCTCAGAGATCTTTCTGTGAGTAGTCTTGCTTTTTGTCTTGATTAAGTGCTTGCTATACCTTGTTCTGGTCTGAAAACCAGTTCAGGTGGGGAATTCCTAATGGTACTGTTAGGGGTGTAAATTCTCCTGCTGTTGTTTTGATGGTAAAACGTGAAATACAGCACGAAATCCACTGATGTGCCATCTCTCAACAGAGGGATCTAGTCTAGCAGCATTGTGTATTTCACTGAACACATTTCCTCTCTAAACTGAGAGCGCTGGGTCCAGCAAGGCCCCGTGTCTTTACCTTCATGTTAAAATCTCTGTTTGATGTGAACTGCTTACCGGATTCTTGTGTCATTTTAGGGACAAGTGCTCCAAATAGCTCCCAACAAGTGCTGCCCGGAGTGTGTGTCCCAAGCTGAAGGATTTTGCCAGCATGAAGGACAGATCCACAGCGTGAGTACTCTCTCATGTTCCTCAGCAGCAGCAATCCTTTGCAGTTTTTAGCTCTGGTTCACGTCGGTGAAGGATGCTTAGCTGACATGTGGGAGGGAGAGTTCCTTGGGCTTGTGTTGTGTCACTGTCACATAATGTGATAAAACAGGAGTTTGGTCAGCAGGGTTTGCAAAAAAGGGAATGTTGCCGAGCAATAATGTGTCCTGCTTGGCTTAAGGGGAGAAAGTTTCCTGCTCATTCATTCACTTGGGTGTTCCTGTGGATGATTCAGACAATATAGTAATGTTAGGTGGGGAGCAAACCACATTGAACTTGACAGATGAGCTGTCCTGAAAGAAGGCTTTTCTCTCTGCTGCCAGCTATGCTGGTGGAGAGTGATGGCTGTTGTGCTGATTGCTTTCCCAGGATTACCTTCCTTTTTTTAGTACAGTTAGTACTCATGTCAGGGGACTTAAAGGGAGAAGATGTATTTCCTCATCTCATGGGCAGCTGGGTTCACGCCTGTGTTTCCTGTGCCTTTGGTTGTGTTGTGCACTGCAGCATGGCGCGCAGTGGGCCGGATCTGGATGTGACCGGTGCTCCTGTGCCCACGGGAAGGTAACCTGCACACCCACAGCCTGCCCAGCCCTGGCCTGCGGACGAGGGGAGCTGCAGGACACTGCTGAGGGATCCTGCTGTCCCAAATGCGTGGGCCGTGGCGGTGAGTATGGCATGTGAATGGGGCACTGTCTGACCATTGATCTGAGCAGCAGGTCACTGGAAATCTCCCTCTAGTCCTAAATCTAGAAAGTTTTTCTTTCCTCGTTCAGTTCCGTTGGGAAGGCTCTGCTGTCAAGTGTGTCTCTTAATTCTCTCTCTCTCCTGCTATGACATTTACATTTTTAATGGCTTTACCCGTAGACCAAGAGGAAGTGATAAGCTTTAAGCAGTGAGCAGATGTGCCCAATATGTCCTTATTTTGGAGGTAGAAATCTGGGAAAAAAGATGTGGGTATTTCCTAGGTACCGAGGGTACCTTTGGCACTTGCACACTTGGTCTTCAAGTTCCAAAAACAAACCTGAGCTATCGGACACCTTTTCTCACAGAAGTCCAGTGGGAGAAGTGCACCCAGAGCTCTTAATTCACAAATCTAAAGCCCTTGAAAACTGGTGGAGTTGTTCCTATCATTGCCTGCTTTGACAAACCAGGGTTTTGAACTCCAAAATGCACAAAACCTGTCTTTTAATGATGAGCAACGGAGAGAGATTAAAGGGCATTGGAAAAAGAAAATTAACTGTTGTTTTCATATCTCGCAGAGCCTTGCTCCTTTGACGGACGCTTGTTCCGGGATGGCGAGGACTGGCGCCTTGGTCGGTGCTCCAGATGCGTCTGCAAAGACGGTGTGACTGAGTGCTCCACGGCCTCCTGCCAGCCTCTGCTCTGCAGCCAGGTCAGGACCCTTCGGCCTTCTGGGGACAGTGCTCAGCACTGTCCTTCCCCTGGGCAAGGTCCACTTCTCATGCAGGTGTACGAGGTGTCAGGCAGATCTTCTGTGTGACGAGTGGACGATGTGGAAATGGGAGTGTTGCTGTGTGCAGATGATGTGCAGTGATGGTTAAGTCTGTCAGTATACATGTGCTTTCTCTCTCTTCCTTAGTAGCTTCTTTCCCCACCATTTTACTCTTCTCATGCCTTTGCTGGCTAATTAAGTGCAAATACTCTCTAAAGAAAATACTTTTTGTTTTACACTTGCATATGCTTGTGTCTAGAAATCACCAAAACTGGTGAGATGAGTTCGGCAAGCTCAAGCAGTGACTCATTATTTTGAGAGGACTGGGACATTTCTGTCTCCAAGGTCTGTGCTGTGGGCAAATGATGAGTTCTCAGCACTTGTGCAGTGATCATCCCAAGCAAAGTACTACAAGGTGATATCCAGTGCTAACACAGAGGTTAGGGAAGGACTCAGACTGCACACAGTACTCCACCCTCCATACGAGTGGCTCCATTTTTTGAACTCTTGTTATTACATTGGAAGTTCTTAAGGGTGTGACTGTGCCCTTTGGATTTCTTTTCGCTGGGCCCGTTGTAGCGGTTTTCTTGGGCACCGTGGTATACTCCAGCAGCAAGCCATGCTAAGGAAATGCAGGAGCTGGCTCCCTGGAAATCTCTCTTTATGACCTTGACTTGATATTTTAGGGGCTGCTCTTTCCCAGATGTTTTTTAATATTTCTGGGTAATTGAATGTTTCACTATTCCCATGCTCCAGTGATGAATCCAGAAGCTCCCTTGAAATGTGTGCTCTGGCTGAGCACGCTTCCCTGTAGCACTGAGAAAAACAAAAGCAGTAGTCATAAACTTTGTTTCCTGTTGTTGCTTACCCAGCTTTCTATTACTGGACCAGATGTTTGTGCAATTAACACTTCTCTTTTTTTTTTTTTTAATAGGAGGAAAGCCCACTTATTTCTGTGCATGTTAATTCTGTTTTGCTTTGTCCTGAGATACTCAATTAGTATTCGTTGACTAAATACTGTGCATTAAAACAAATTTATGTCTACTTTAGATTCCTCTTTTCCCACTCCAGATGGACTGATGTTACCTGCTCACTGATTACACACTAATGTTTAATCAGCTAATCATTAGGATTTAATTTGTGGAAACAGAGAGGATTATGTAGTTGCTGTGATGTATCTGAGAGTAATTGTCTGAGAGCATCCAGAGTAATGCAGCAGGGAGCCAATTCTGATGACGTTCCAGGTATTTCCTACCAAGGTGGCTGGTAGAAGGGACGTTGGCAGGATGTGTCAGGATCCTGTTCTGCTCTCGGTCATACCTGACATTTTCTTGCATGTGCCTTTATCTCTGTCACTTCCTTCATTTTCCACTCCATGTCAGAAACAAATACATAAGCTCTCCCAGTATTAAACTCTGATCTTCCATCTTTCAGATGACTGTGCCCTTCCCTGGGTGCTGAGGGAGAGGAACTTCAGAAGTGCTTGTTGAATGCAGGAGCACAGCTGAATGTCCTACCACATGTCCCACCGAAATCCAGGAAAGAGTTCTTGTAACTCTGCTGGGAAATCTGTCGTTGGCAACTTTTGTACAAAGTCTTACACTATTTCTTTGAAAGCTAGTGATGTGACTAGCAAAGCTGATGACATAATAGTGCTGGGCATTTCTGTGTTACTTTCAGTCCACAAGTCAGTCTCCTGGTCCTCCTGATGTGTCTGGGAGGAGGTGCTGGTGAACAACTCCATTCCAAATCATTGAGTGTACGTGAAATTGTAGCAGGGGGATGAAAGACACGTTTTGGATGGATGGAATTGAGGCATGCAGAAACTGCTATATTGATGTGAAGTGCCAGCCTATTCCAGTGTGATTTAAATCACTCGTGAAGAAGTTTAAATTAGGATAATCCGGTTTTAAGCATGATTTAACACCTGTACAGACAGTTCTGCTGTATGGATTTAACTAACACAGTGCAAGTGCCTGAGAGATGGCAAGTGTAAATGACACATTCAAAACCTTGTAATGTGGCAGTACCTGGAAAAAGCCCTTTTCTCCTCCATCTTACTCTTCAGTGTGCTTCTCTACATAGCTTTATATATGTAATTTTTTTTCCTCTGTATATCTGTATACCTGAATATATGTACTTTATCCTGTGTGCATGTCTTTATCTGCATCTATATCCCTGCACAGGTATTTGGACCTAAATTGCCATCCAAAGCAGCCCAGAGAAGGAGATGAAGGGAGTATATTTCTAGTTTTCTATGCTGATCTCATGCTGTAAAGACTGCCCCCAGATACTGGGGCCAGAAGGAAGCCTTGAGTGATAACTGTGGGTTATCAGACAGATACTGAATGCCTGGAATTCCAGGCGGTGATGCTGAGCCCCCTGTTCACTGTTCATGCTCTTATTTTTCTTGTCTCTCCTGCTTTCTTTTTAGAATGAAGTTACAGTTACATCTCCTGGAAAATGCTGCCCAGAATGTGTTCCAAAGCCCTGCCTGGTGTCTGGAGGAGTGTACCAGGTAACCTGTGACGAGCCACACCAAAAGGCAGTTCTTCACAAGTTCTGGCACACCTCTCTGCCCCTTCTCCCCAGCATCTGACTTGCTGCCAGCACTGATAGCTTAGTGCAACCATTGCTTTTTTTTTCTTCCTGGAAAGCCAGAAGAGTTGAAAGAAATTAGGAGTAGATAAGAATTTGCTGTCAAGCAGAAAGGAGGTTTGCAAGGTGAGGCAGATTAGGCGCTTTCTGTTCACACTTTTTTGAAGGAGGAAAGCAGAAAGCACTGGTGAAGGTCAAAGTATTTATGGCTTTCACTGTATCATCTGGAATTACTTTAATGCATTATTTAATGTATGTATGTATGTGGGCTTTTATGTTAATGATTATTTTTTGCTCATACTAGTATCTAAGGCCTCACCAATGTCAGTAGCTTGCAGTTAATGAGAAATACACACCACAGTGTCATCTAGACCTTATACCTCTTCTTCCTGTTTGCTGATCTTGTAGAGATAAGTGTTTTTAAAGAAAAGTTTATTATCTTATACGGACATGTAGAAGGAGCTGTCATATTCCATCAGCAGCACAGAGTTCTGGAAAGCATTTGATTCTTTACAAGGAGTGTTTAACAATTGTATACACGTTCTTTTTGAACAGCATGGTGAACAGTGGAAAAAAAATGCCTGCACTGCATGTGCTTGTCACAGAGGGGAAGTCAGATGTCAGAGGGAGACCTGTGACTCTGTTACCTGTGAGAAGGTAGTTAAAAATCATTGACCACTGATACCCTGGCAGCACGTGTCGCCATGCCCATGCCAATGGGTTCAGACAGTCCTGATCAATGGTTGCTGATGTTTTGTAGGGGGAGAAGAAAGTGCAGCGTCCTGGGAAGTGCTGTGAGGAGTGTGTCTCTTCCAAGGGAAACTGCTTGTACGATGGCACTGTCAGGTACCACGGCGAGATGTGGAACATTACCCACTGTGACTTCTGCGTGTGTGATGAAGGGCATGTCACTTGCCAGGAAGCAGAGTGTGCCAAAGTGGAGTGTGCCCAGGTAAGAAAGGTTTTCTTCCATGACACATCTGTCAAGTCTTGTGATTTTTTTTTCCCTCCCTTTTTCTTCTTCCTCGACTGATATCTTGAGACACTCAAAGAATCTGCCCTTCTCTCGGGGTTTGTTTTGTGCAATTACCTTGAAAACACTTCACAGGAAAGGAGAATAAACTTGATTTTCCATGTAAGCTTGACTGCTCAGTCAGCTTGTATTGTAAAGCAAGCCAATGTGAATCAGTGATTAATTTAACTTGGATTCCCTCCCACGCTGTGGTCTCCCTGCTGTAATGGAAGGTCAGACACCCAGAGGTTTCAGTGACCACCAGCTTTACCAGGAGCTGAGCATGGGGAGAGATGTGTGGGTCAGAGATAGTTAAAAGCTTAAGAAATGTTCATTTCATGTTCATTCTGTATGCTCCAGTGGGCTTCAGTAAGGTAGGTGGATATGGAAGCCAATGTTCCCCTTTTTTCCATTTTTTCCCTGCTGTTCTTGATGTGGAAGTGAAGCTTGTAAGGTGTTTTATTCCCAGTGCTGTTTACTCCAAAGCTAACCCCCCCTCCCACCAGGTTCTGTTCTATTTGCTCTATAGTGGATGTGCAAAATGCATTAGACAGGGTTGAGTGCTTCACACGCAGACACACATACAAACATGTTTTGAATTGCCTGTTTGCAGTGGGATAAGACTTCTCTCTTGCTTGTTACTGGAGCTGGTTTATTCGGTGGGCCAGTGTCTGCTTTGTACCTACTGCTCCACAGTGTCAGTGAAGAGGAGGGAAGGAATTGTAGCCTCGTTGTTTTCTCTCTCAGTGTCTTTTCTGCTGACTCTGCCTGTGTGTTAAATCTTGAGTAGCAACACTCTTGTGTTGTGTCTGAAGTCCAGACAAAATCTGGACATAATGGATTCACTGAATTAGATTTTTCTAATGGGTGTTCAAAAAAGGGAGAATCTACACGTGGGGTCCCAAATGATGACCGTGCAGACAGGATGTATCTAGAAATAAAAGCATGTGCTTGTTCCTCTGAGATTGTGCCTTTGAAATAGCAAAGTGCACTGGGCACGAGTGTGCTGGTGATTGTCTGACCTTAAACTGCACGGCGAGGTTTTGCTTGGTGGAAAGTCATGGTTGCCATAAAATCTTGTGCGCTTGCATCTGTTTCAGTCAGCTCCCTGCATGCTTACGGCTGTAAATGGGATCATTTACACTAATGATGATGGCATGCTGTCATGCCTCAGTAGGGAGGATTATTTAATATTCATGCTCATATCTTGGCTACTGACAAAGAATCCATTATTCAGAAAAGCCAGGGATATTTTACAGAGCAGCAGCTGAGGATGTGAACATGGAGGGTTCAAAACGGGGGGGTTCAGAAAGCGTGCAGCATTGTCACTCACGCAGCAAGTTTTCACACTCAGGCTCTCACAGGTAACCACCCATCTAAAAGTCCCAGTGTCTAAAAAAGTGGTGTTATTTGTCAGAGTAGGAACCGCTGTGATCTTGAATTGAATGAAACTGGATTGCTAGGAGGTCAGGAGGAAGAGTTGTCTTTGTTGTAGACAAGAATTACGGTCCCACTTGATAAAAGATACTTGCCCAAGGGTTTATTATTCTGCATGGCTCTCCTTAAGGTAGACTAGCTTCCTCAAGTCACGTTCAGTCATAGTTTACCTCAGTAGTACAAGGTGCACGTTAATTAATTACAATAAAATATTTACTCCAAAAGCAAATGAAATATTCTTTTTCCTTTGCCTTTTCCTTTTTGGGTTGCAGGTCTGTTTTTTTAGGCACCTGCATCAGTAAATCAGCGCTGATGTGAAGCTCAGAGCATTTGGATACATCTCTTCATTAAGGCACTATTAATTTTCTGGTCACATTCTATTTAAAGTGTAATGAGGCCACAGATATGAACTGCAAATCCTGGACAGCTCTACATGGTACAGCAGCATTACGTGAGGGTAGGGGAGAGGCTTAGCTTGTAAACCCTTTCAAACAAACCTGTCCAGCAACTGCCAGATGAAAGTGTCTGTGGTGATTCTGACCTAATCTTCAAAAAGCCAGTTTCAGTGGGTTACTGATGATCTGGGAACACAGGTTACGTGGCAGGGTAACTGGGAGAGCTATGGATGTGCTCAGCCAAAACCACTCAAGCTGTCAGAGTGGCAAAGAATCCTGCTGGAGCACTTAACAGCACCCTGGCTAAGTAAGCTCGCTGGTGAGGGTGGTTGGGGGAGGATGGGCTGTGGGGATGGCTAGCAGGGGTGTTGCAGCCTGCCTGGGGAGGCTGGCAGTGCAGTATTTCTGCTGGCAGCCCTGCCAGCCCTCGGCACTCCAGGGTCAGTGTGGTGGAGCTTGCCCTGCGGTGCTGACGAGCAGCCAGGCAGCACAGCACGCCGCGGAACTCTGCCTGGTGTTTAGAGGAAAGGAGCTCGGGTGCTGAGAGCTGGGGATGGTGCACGTGGATGTTGGTGTGAGATTGCATAGAATGGTTTTTTTCTCTCTCCCACCTCCCAGCCCATCACTGCCTCGCAGTGTTCTCCACCTGGAGTATGGTGAATCTCTCTTTGGCAAAGCCACAAGTTATCTCATTTAGCCTCTCCCTTGTGGGAGTCTTGGCAGAGCCGTGTGGTTGCATTTTTTTGGCTAGGCGAGCTGTGCTCCCTGGCTGGTTGTTCTCATTTCTCCTGGAGTGTGTGTTTGTGTATGTGGGTGGGGAAGTGGGCAGGGATGGGGGTGGGAGAGTTTACAGTACACAGTAGTGGCATGAGATCCAACTACTGCCAATGGCATTTGGAGGTAATTATTTAGGAGCTAACATGTATAGAACCAGCAGGGAGAGATTTAGGCTGTGTGTGGTCCTTGATGACTAGGAACCGCATAGTTTCTCCTCTCTTACCCACTGTCAGAAATGCAGGAGAGCTGCCAGAGCATGGCCTGGCTTAGTTGTTCTACCTCAGTGAAACCCACAGCAATCAGTGCTGTTCCTGCCCTGTCTATGTCTGAAGTGATTCACATACACAAATGGGTGAGCATGCCAATGTGGCACAGCAAAAAATACCCCGCAGCGACTGCTGGAGCAGATGCTGGCTTGGTGTACATCAGCCAAGCTGTTTGGTAAACTTGGCGCTCGCCTGCATTTTGTGAGCCACCAGAAGAAAGCAGCAACGTGCTGAAATGGAAACCAGTGTGAGCTGTGTGGTTTCACTGGGGGTGTGAGCCACACATTTAACCAGCAGCCATGGCTTCTCTGTCACAGGTAGGTAATCAGCCTGGTTGCAGAGTGAGGAAGATCATCCCCGCTGATGTTTGGGATGGGCACTAACAGGGACGTTGAATGGGTGTAAATTAAATGAGTGCTCAGTGCAGATCAGCACCAAATCTAACGCAGTCATTCATTTATAACATTTTACATGCAGTGGTTTGGGTACACACGCCTGTTTTCTGACTAGTGTGTGTCACCTTGCCTGTGTTTGCAATGTGTAAGAATCTGGTCCAGAAAAGCTACTCACCTCAGAAAACTGAAGCTGTTTCTTTGAGCTGTGTCCTGGTTCCCTAGGACAGACTCTCTCTCTTTGCTAAATATTCAGCTTCCACTTGAGCACAAAAAGTTGTGAGAATTAGGGGACTTTATTCCCTTCTCCTGCTGCTAAATTCTTATCTTCAAACCCAAGTTATTTAAGTGGATTCTGTGGAGCTGTACAGTTGTAACAAAGAACAGGCTTTTTCCATCTGGGATAAATAGAGCATGTGCTTTGAAATTCTCTTGGGGAAAAAAAGAAGCAGAAATTCAAAATGAAGGTAAGCTTTTCTCTGCATTGAATCTTACCAGTGGTCCAGTGAAATCCCAGTGATCCCCAGTAAAAATAC